TATGGTAATGCAAATGAGTATAAATTAAATGGCGATAAAAGAGGAGAACAAGAGATAATAATTGATAATGATAATAAAAAGTATTAACAACACCAGTGATAATAAGAATAATAATAGAAATAATAATAATAATTAAGAAGAATAAGAATAATAACAACAATAATAAGAATAACAGTAACAATAACAAGAATAAAAATAATGAAAATGAATTGTTAAAAAATCGATGATATTGCAGAAACGGTACTCCTTTAAACAGAGTCTGTTTAAACAATAATGACCACGAAGAGTGCGATGAGACTCGCGAAGGAAAAGAGCGTAAATTTTCACGAACAAATGCCTGTCTCTGTGAATCGCATAAAAATGCAAGGTAACACAGTCAAGGTAGAAAAGTTCGCAAGTACAGTAATGTCTCTCTAATTGACGCTCAGATTATCCACGAAAATGGACAATTCGGGAAGAAGAGATACGATTATTCGTGCCTTGCGGTTCGTTTTCATAGTTACGAATTGTCAATAACTGTAAAAACGAGACTCGAATAATCGTATCTCCTCTTCCCAAATTGTCTATTTTTCCGCGCAATCTGAGCGTCAGTTAGGGAGACATTACTGTAGCCCAGGGGTGTCAAACTCGCGGCCGGAGATGAGCATTTTTGATGTCAAGTATCAGAACGTAAACAATAATTTAACTTTATATATGTTTATTACAATGTACTAGTCAAAATAAAAATATTTGTTCTATGAACGTTGATTTTTTTTTGTTTATTATTATTATTATATTTGTTTATTATATATATTATATATTTAATATTAATAAAAAAATATATAAATGTATTAAATATAATCAATATAAATTGATTTTATTTTTATTTATTATTATGGACCAAGTTAGCTTTTGAGTTCGACACCCCTGCCGTAGTCTGTATCGCAGACACTCACGCTGGAGCGGATATCAGGGTCGATGATGTAATTGTACGGGCAGAAGATGATGTCGGCGAAGTCCATGAGGTTCCTGGCAGCGAAGTACGGGCACAGCTGCGTCTTTCTCCCTATGGCGACCAGATCCTCGATGTCCCATACCGAGCTCAGACCGTGCCTCTCCGCCACGTGGAAATTGTTCAGGGACTTCTTGTTGCTCTCGTTGTAAAATTTACACCCTAGGTGCTGTAAAGTTAGTTAGTCGACAGGCACTTTCAGAGAGAATCCTTTTCTCGAGCGGAAAAAACTGGATTCCATTCGGGCTCGAACGGAAGCATATACCTTTTGGGGGTCCAGCAGATCGTTGCACAGTTCCGTTTTGTTTTTGTTGCTCTCCTGTATGCACGTGTGCTCCCGACTGCTCAATATGGTCATTCTGCAGAGCAGTTCACAGTTTTTAAGGTGTATACTCGACGAGTACACTCGCCGCGAAGTATTATTATTGTATATAATATAGTATAGTATAGTATAGTATAGTATAGTATAGTATAGTATAGTATAGTATTATTATTATTATATAGTATAGTATAGTATTATTATTATATACAATATTATTTGTGTGTCAAAAAGCAGCTAACTGGTTCAATTTTTTAATAAATATTAGGTCGAGATATAAATTACTTCTATTTCTTTATCAGACATTTATTTTGATTTATTTTTATTTTATTTTTATTTTATCTTTAATTTATATTTATTTTATTTTTATTTCATATTTATTGTATTATTTATTTTTCTTTTATTTCTCCCTTTCATTTCATTCATTTTCAACCCTTATCTGTTTATCCAGTTAGCTGCGTTCGACGAGTACACTCGTCACATAGAAATGGCGTTTGTTTCGATGACCCATAGTGACTAGGCTAATAAATAAATGTCAGCAATAAAACTAAAAACTAAATATTCCATATTGGAACACTTTTCAAAAGAGATCGCGACGAGCTCGAAAACTGTTTGACAGCGGCGTCGCAACTTCCACAAAAGTCCTTACTTCTTGTGCTTGTACGAGGTCTTCCTCAGCTCCCTGACGACCTGCTCGATCTGCTTGTGAGTTCTGGTGCCGTAATAGATTTTCGGGATCTTCGGGGCCTTCGTGTTCTTCCTGAAACGCATTAATCGAGCCGTAGGCAACGCGGTGTCAGGCCAATTCAAATCTACCGAAAGCGTTCTTACATTTTTTCGAGGCCGTCTCTGGATTGCGCCTCGCAGCAACCGGAAGAGGATTGACCGCTAAGGACTACGTTCAAGCCTGAAAATAAGATCGACTGTGTATCAGCGGAATCGTGCGGAGGTCGTTGTCAGGTGCAACGAAGATCGCCGCGCGATCTCTCGAGTTAGCCGTTTCTCATATCGATTTCCAGCCCCCGCGACCCTTTGATGCGGGCCGATCGCGCCGGAAAAGAAAAAGCTGCAACTGGAACGAGTAAACAAGAAGAGGAAGAAGAAAAGGAGCCCGAGGAGAGCTCTTCGTCGTTGAACCGTCGAAGAAAAAAAAAGTCGTGTGGAGAGTGTATTCGGGGTGGTGGATGTTTCTACGGTTCGCATATGGTCGACACGCCAGCGATTTCTAAGGGGCGCCCACCGCTCTGTAGACGCGTATAGGGTGCTCCGCCAAGATCTAAATTACTCGAGAATCGTTTCTTCCTGCAGAAAAAAGGTTCATGTGTGTGTGTACGATGTATGTAGTATGAGTATAATGTATTGAATTATTCTGTACATTGTGCAAATACTTGTAACAATTGTACAAAAATTAAAAACAAAAATTACAAATACTTGAAACATTCAAATGTATACATTACTCTATACATTATACATAACCTTGACATAATAATAATAATATAATATAATATAAGTAATATAATAATAATAGTATAATAATAATAATATAATAATAATAACAATATAATAATAATATAATAAAATATATTATATATAAAATGTATAATGTGTAGAATAGAGAACGTGCTGATACAGTTAATTTCTTTCTAATTTATTTCTATTGTTTCTTCATTGAGATCTGAAGGCCGTAATGTATAAAATTTGTCTTTGCCACCGGTTGGAGTATGTAAAATTAATTTTAAAAAAAGAACTGTAAAAGGGTATGGATTCTAAATCCAATATTTACCGGTAAATTGATTAAGTTACGTTCAATGTAAAAGAAATTCCGTGCACAGTAAATTCTAATTCTAATTGACGCTCAAAATGGACAATTTGAGAAGAGAAGACGCGATTATTCGAGCCTTGGGCTCGTTGTTACACTTATTGACAATCGGTAAATATAAAAAGAGAAGTCGCAGAGCTCGAATAATCGCATCAACTATTCCCAAATTGTCCACTTTTGTTTCCAAGCTGAAGGAAAATTAGGGAGAGTTTACGGTCCACAGTAATTTCTCCTTAATTCGCGCTGAGATTGCGCACGAAAATGGACAATTTGGAAGGAGGAGACGCGATTATTCGAGCCTCTGGCTCGTTTTTATAGTTCTCGACAATGGGTAGATGTAAAAACGAGTCGCAAATTGCTCATTTTTGTGTAGAATCCGAGCGTCAATTGAAGGAAATTGACTATATCTCTCTCTTTTTAAAAAGACATTTTCGGACGCAATCGGACGCATTCTATAAGTTTGCTCCCAACTATTCTGAACACCCTGTACATAAACATATATATATATATATATATATATATATATATATATATATATATATATGTATAACTGAAAAGGATTACGCTTATTTAGGAAGTTGTTCGCCGCTGAAAGGATCCGCTCGAAGATCGGGCGAGCGAGCGAGCGAGCTAGCGAGCGTTCTATTAATGCCGTGAAATGAGCGAGGACGAGCGAGAGGAATGTCAAAACAGCGAGATCGGTGGCAGGTGAAAGGGCACGGAGAATCCATTGAGCGGGATCAATAGGGGTGGTTTTATCCACCCTCTCGACGGCCGTCGACAAAAGGGGCCGGAGAACCAGCCTCTGCCTCGAAGTAGAGGCCGGAGAATCACGGAGAGTCGGAGGATCGGCTGGCGAAGAAGGGAGGAGGGGAGAGGGGGAGAGGTCGAGAACGGGTGGAAACGAACGTGAAGGAGTCATAGAAGAAGGCCCCGGGCCGCGGGTTAATCCTTTCGTGCGATTTACCGAGTCAGAAAAATAGAAATGATCGTAAATGACGATGAAAGGCCATGAAATGGATGTTTATTCGTAAGCGGATTTCGACGATCGGCGGCGGCACTCGAAGACGGAGCTGCCGGAAACCCCGTTCCGTTCAATCTCTTCCACCGAGGATCCGACGCCGAACAACGCGCCCTCGAAATCTCTTATTCGTTAGGGGACTGAGAGGGGCGATTCTTTAAAACCGGAACCTTGTGCTGCGGCAAGGAGCGCGGCGCTTCTCGGCAGTTCGAAGGATGCGTCGATCGCTTATACTAAATTATACCGAATCTGTCGAGGGAACGTTTCGTCGTTCGATTATGGATATTTATGCTAAATTGTCTGCGTCTAACGCGAGCTTACTGGATATTGTTTTAGCTTTGTAAATAATTTTAGTAAGTTAGAACGAACGGCGTCAACGTTTGTAGTTCTTTTTTTTTTTAAATCTTCCCACTGTTTTCATTTTTAATTTCACTCACCTGTTTTTACTGTAAAGCCATCAAAAATGGGTCCAATCGGACCCATGCGAATAATTGCAACCCTTAATGCAAATCGGTCATTGAGAGAAACAGCATTACCATACGTTTCGCATTTTTATATGAATAATAAATAATAAATTAAAAAATAAAATAAATTCTGAACAGAAACTTTTTTTTATAGACTGTTTAATTGACCCGTTTAATAAAATCTGCGGCCTTGTTATAACACGTTCGTTCTCTCTCGCAGACATCGTGCAATAAAGAACCTCATTTATGCGCACCGTGAGTTGTCACGTTGTTCCACGATTGATACGACAGATGACGCTATTAGTGCGAAATGTTATCTGTTTGAACAGCGCGAAAGAAACGAGATGTTCCTAGAATTTTCCAGAGTAGCAATATACATATATAGGGTAAGCGTGAGTAGTTTCTTTTACAAAAGTAAACGAATCTAATATTTTACAGTATGCAATGTTATAGAAAAGACTCTTAAAATTTCATATATGTATAATATTGATGATCAGGATATAAATATTGCATCCTTACTTTTATAAACTAATATAAAACAGCTGCTATTATCGCTCCCTAAATCTAATAAAAAAATCAGAATAACTGCTGTATCCTTACTTTTATAAACTAGCATAAAACAGCTGCTTTCATCGCTCCCTAAATCTAGTATAAAAAATCAGAATAACTGTTGTATCCTTGCTTTTATAAACTAGTATAAAACAGCTGTTATTATCGCTCCCTAAATCTAGTGTCAAAAATCAGAATAAATACTGTATTCTTACTTTTATAAACTAGTATAAAACAACTGTTATTATCGCTCCCTAAATCTAGTGTAAAAAATCAGAATAAATATTGTATCCTTCCTTTTATAAACTAATATAAAACAACTGCCATTATCGCTCCCTAAACCTAGTATAAAAAATCAGAATAAATATCTTATCCTTACTTTTATAAACTAATATAAACCAGCTGCTATTATCGCTCCCTAGATCAAGTGTAATAAATCAGAATAAATATTGTATCCTTACTTTTATAAACTAATAAAAAACAACTGTTTCTATCGCACCCCAAACCTAGCGTCGAAGGGTGCCGCCAATTTATTCGGCCGCTGGGTCTGTCATTTTTCCCCGTGAAATTCCGCGTTCGCGGAAAAAACCGCAGTTACACCCGCAGCATCGCGGAATCGCGACTCGCGACTCGCCGCGACTTCTAATTAAAATCTGCAGTGGAACGCGGTGAAAAGCGGGGCCAGCGATCGGCCGAGGCAAAAGAAACGCGGACGAAGTAACGGAGGGGTAGGAGGAACGCGGCCGGACTAACCGCAGCGCAGAATTGATGATCGAGGCCCCATCGAGGGTTTCGTCATCGATCCCGGTCTCTCGAGGCAACACAACAAGCCGCAAGTGTTCGGACGCGGAGAGTCAGTAATTCGATGGCGATGTTAAAGGGGGCGTCTCTCAAGGGTGCGATAACTTTCGGCGTCGACTGTATCGCTGGATGATACCCCCTCGGGGTTTTCTCCCCTCGGGTGTTGGGGTGTGTTTCGTTGCCTGGCAACGACACCCTCAAAGTCCCCGCTCTGATTGGCCCCGTCCCGCTTCTCCTGTCTTAGCCTCTCTCATCTCACCCCCTTCGACAATCAGCCAGCCAGGCAGCCGCGGCGACCGTGCCTCCTCTATCGACGATCAAAACCACCCTCGAGGCAACGGGGCTGCTGCTGCTGCTGCTGCTGCTGCCGCCGCCGTTGCCGCTCTGCCTCCTCGCCAACCCTCTGATACCCTCGCCGAGCCGAGCCGAGCCGAGCTTCCCTGCCAAAATGCTAAGTCGGACACCCTATTTCGCGTTGCCGCGCGCGATAGTTGGTTAATTCACTTCTCCGACGGGGTTCGAACCGGGCTCTTTTCATTCCACGACCATAGACTTTCAGAGATAGATAGAGAGGTGGATTTTATCCGAGGAGACGGCCGGACTCGAATTTCAACGATTTCGCGTAATATCGGGGCATTTATTTTCGAAATTCTCAACCCTTACACGGTAATTTCTGCCTAATTAGCGCTCAGATTTCGCACGAAAATGGACAATTTGGGAGGAGGGGGTAGGATTATTCGAGCCCTGCGTCTCGATTTTATAATTGTTGACAATCGGTGATTATAAAATGTGATAATAAATTGTCCATTTTCGTGCGCAATCTCGGCGCGAATTAGGGAGAAATTATTGTACGCTGTAAACTCTCCCTAATTTTCCTTCAGCTTTCAAACAAAAATGAACGATTTGGGAGGAGGAGGTACGATTATTCGAGCCCTGCGTCTCGATTTTATAATTGTTGACAATCGGTGACTATAAAAACAATAATAAATTGGTAATAAATTCGTAAGCAATCTCGGCGCGAATTAGGGAGAAATTACTGCACGCTGTAAACTCTCCCAAATTTTCCTTCAGCTTGCAAACAAAAATGAACAATTTGGGAAGAGGAGCTACAGTTATTCGAGCCCTGCGTCTCTCGATTTTATAATTGTTGACAATCGGTAACTATAAAAATGATAATGAATTGGTAATAAATTCGTGCGCAACCTCTACACGTCGCTTGTTGCAACGTTTGCAGCGACTGGTACGCCAGAGGT